CCTGATCTTGGACATGAGTCACACATGCCCAAGGAAAAGTGAGTGAAATGTGGAAAAAAAAAAACCCACACACCACAAATAACCACTACTTTCTACATTTCTCTCTTAGGAGGAAAAATTCAGCTATCTCTCTATATTCAGTTCTTTGCTAGCAGTAATAAAAAGATAGAATGGTAAAATGTTCCCCTATGCCATTTTGCCATTGAAGGAGAAAGTTACATGAGAAAAAGGTAAGCGATGTTTGCATATTCTATGCATATGTTTATATTGTCTCTTATCACCAAGATATATGAGAATTCACAAGGCATTGTTGAATAAACAATATACAAAATCTAGGAAAACCTTAGAGTTCTTTAAGCCAAACTCTGTCTCAGTATTACATCATCATCATCATCATTATTGACTTGTATTAATAGATACTTGCAGTTTGCTGCCTTTTGTGAAAAAAAAAGTTGTAAAATTGTATTCATATTAAAAATCAGGTTCTTAATAATATCAACTTATCATGAAATAATTTTAAAACCTTTAAAGGAATATAAAATACACCAGACTTTTTAAACAACATGTTGGTCAATACCAAAAAGAGTTGTCACTAGAGAAAAACAATAAAAACCCCATAATGCATGGATTTAAAAAGCTGTGGTACATCTACACAATGGAATACTATGCAGCTATAAAAAAGAAGGTTCTCTTACCCTTTGAGACAGCTTGGAGGGATCTGGAGAGTATTATGCTAAGCGAAATAAGTCAGTCAGAGAAAGACAAGAATCATGTGATATCACTTATATGTGGAATGTAATGAACAAAATAAACTGACGAACAAAATAGATCCAGAGACATAGAAACATGGAACAGCCTGATGAATCTCAGAGGAAAGGCAGGGATAAATGCATGGGTGCAAAGAGATTAACGAAAGAATTTGTATGCATATATGCATAACCCATGGACACAGACAATAGGATGGTGAAGGCCTGAGGGGGGTTATGGGAGTGGGAGGGAGGGGGCAATGGGGAAAAAGGGGGCATCTGTAATACTTTCAACAATAAAGGTAAATTTTTAAAAAAGAAGATAGTGAATTCCAAAGCTACAAAAATTCAAGACTTTCTCAATTTTAAAAAAAATCAATACTGTTTTGACTTGTGGGTATGAATTACACATGGTCTGAATTAGTCTGTAACTTGCTTTTCTTCACTCCACAATATGCTTGCGAGCATCATCCATATTGACATGTGGCTTTGGTTCATGTGGTCTCAGCACTGCGATGCACTTCAACACATAGATATCTTTTCCTTCTGCTTCTCTATCCCAACTTGCCGAACAATTACTTCAGATTCATCCTTTGGTTCACCAATTCTCTCTTCAATACTTTACCCTACTGGTTGAGTTTGTAATTTCAATGATTAATTTCTTGAAATTATAATCGGCTCTTTCCCTAATATGCCTGGCTTTTTGTTTGTTAACAGAACCTGAAGTAAGAGTTGAATATATTTACAACCCTCAGCTCCACTCTCTGTGGCTGCAGCTGACTTATTCCCATGTACTTCACGGGATGGATAACAACACATTATTATAAAAGGCCTAAATGTCCCTTCCAAAGGGTACTGGCTCAATAAATTGTGGTCCCCTCACATAACAGAGTCTGTAGCCATTATATTAAAAATAATGCAGCAACACTACTTCCAATACATGAAGTGGGGGGGAAAGCAAGGTGCAGAACAAGTTGTATAGCATTTACCTTTTGCCTGGGGAACAAAGAAAATCGATCTCAGGTTTATAAATGCAGCAAAACTTTGTGGAAAGATTTACCCAAGAAAGTGCAACAGTGGCTGTCTCTAGGGAGAGGACTTTCATGGCTGGGGGTCAGAGGAAAGACAGGACTTAATTTTCATTGTTGAGCCATTTTAGTTTTATACCATGTGCATAGATAGATAGATAGATAGATAGATAGATAGATAGATGGTGTCCCAAAATTCACGCAAGAAGTAATTTTGATAGAAAACACAGGTTTATAGGTTTATATTGTAAATTTTTTATTGATTCATAAAGTATACAATATAGGGTTATGTATGGAA